CTCCGCCGCAGTGTAGTCACACAAAATACAAGGAAATGATTCCAGGCTCACATGTGGGCAGCTAAGCCACCGTGCTTGACTCTTGACTTTGTAATATATGCATTGGCTTTGGCTGCGGGATGATATATAAATTCAAGCCAGAGCCAATCCATTCGATAGCAAATTAAGCAAATGCCTTCCATGACCATGAAGGACCTGGAAGCATCAGTAGCACTATCCACCGGGCAGGGCCCTGTCGATGACAGCGGCGAGCCTATAGGAGCAGTAGGATCATCCACCGAGCAGGGCCATGTCAATGGCAGCGTCAAGCATCGTGCAGTTTCAAAGCTGCACGAGTTCAAGGAGCAGCTCCTGCTGCTGTCGACTCTGGCCGCTACGGTGACGTACGTCGCTGGGCTGAACCTGCCCGGGGGATCCTGGGAGCAGGATGAGCCTAGACCTGGAGGGCACATGGCCGGTGATCCGATCCTCCGGGATACACACTACCGCCGGTACATCGCCTTCTACTTGTGCAACGCCACCGCACTCGCCGCCTCGCTCGTGGTCTCCCTCATCCTCATTATCCAGGAGAGGAAGAAATTTGTCTGGACAGTGGTGCTGCGGATGGTGATGATTCTCAACCTACTCAGCCTCATGGGGGCCTATGTTGCCGGGAGCTGCCGGGATGCATTCACGACCATCTACGCGGGGGTAACCTTCTTCCTTGTGGTATTGGTCACCATCTCTGTTTTCTTCTACCTCCGGCTCAATGGTGTTAATTCCAATTCGAACCATGACCCCACCTCCAAGTCCATCTCCAATCCCAACCCAAGCCATGACTCCACCTCCGACTCGATCTTCAATTCCACCTCGAAACATGACTCCATCTCCAGTTCCAGTTTGAATCCTGTGTCCAACCCAAACTCTGACTCCATCCCCATGCCCAATTCCTGGGTCCGTCCTGGGAAGAAAGTCCAGACACAGAACAGTGTGGTGAGGCGTCTTGACGCCACCGACGCCAACAAGCAAGAGAAGGAGCAGATAGATGTGCTGATGTTGCTTGCAACCTTCGCAGTCACCATCACATACGTTGCTGGTCTGAGCCCACCTGGTGCGTTCTGGAGCAGCACCCAAGACGGACACCGTTTGAGCGACCCGGTGTTACAAGCCCGTGGTCGTTACCGTGCCTTCTTCGTTTGCAACACCACCTCGTTCGCCGTGTCCCTGCTCACTATCGTGTTGCTCTTGGAGAAGAAGCTGCTCAAGAATAAGCTAGTCAACATGTCAGTGCGATTTACTGCGCTCTATGGGTTCATCGCCGTGGCTCTATTGGGGCTTATGGGAGCCTATGCTGCTGGGAGCTGCAGGGTGGGAGGCTGACAATACCATCTTTGTCCTTACCCTCGCCTCTGCTGTTCCTGTCTGCATGGGCCTCCAACTGGCGCTTGTTAGTTGTTGGAAAGACCTCGCTACCATGTGTCATCGTGTCCTGAGATGGTTCAAAGAACAGTTCAACACACCTCGAGGTATGCCTGGCTACCTACCTACCTACCTTATCTTACTCCGGTTATTATGAGAGCTTACCATTTTGGGTTTTTGAGGATTTTGCATGCATATGGATATACGGATATGGACGTCGTCAATACCTCTACCACACAATTTTGATTGTTAATTTTTTTCATTTATAAAATCTAAAAACTATGTGTATACATTTATATTAATTTAGCATCTTAAGAGAATAATTTATGTGCACGTAATGATTTTCATGTAGCTCAATATTAAGTATTGTTTCTCAAGTATACAATGTTCTGAATTTATCTACTATTTAGTTGTATGGCTGATTTATTGAAAACACTATAATATCGGTATTTCCATCATAATATACAAAGTTCTTGATTTATTTAACATTTATTTGCGTGATCAATTGACTGAAAACAAATATGCACAGGCACCTCCGTAAGCACGGACATCCAGCTACACCTTCAAAACACTCGCTATCTTGTTATGCTCCTTGCTACTCTGGTGGTGAGCATCACTTACCAAGCAGGACTAGATCCACCCGGCGGCCTTTGGCCAGATAGCCGCGATGGGCATACAATCGGTCACCCGGTGCTCCAAACAACACATCCTACTCGGTACCAAGTGTTCTTCTATAGCAATTCGGCAGCTTTCGTCACATCCTTGGTCGTCATCATGATGCTCCAGAGCAAGTATCTACTCACACGGCACACACTGGAAGCAACCCTAGTACTTGACCTATTTGAGCTCGTTACTGCCTACGGTGCCGGGAGCACTAGGGAAATAAACACATCCTTCAACATCATCGCCTTGGCGGGCATTGTCCTCGTCTATGTCATCGTCCATATCACCATAATAGACCATGCCCCTGAGCCAGAGGGTGGTGATGATACAGTGAAAGATCTCGATGAAAAGCACAAGGTGCTACTGCTGGTTGCTATCTTGGCTGCTACCCTCACGTACCAAGCTGGTCTCACCCCGCCTGGTGGCTTCTGGTTAGCAGATGACCAAGGGCATATATTTAACTACCTTTGTTTAGCCTGGTAACTCAAGTTCTGCAGGTTGATAACTTTTAACCAAAAAAGGAGTTGACGGAACATATCAACATGGGATGTAGTTTCAAAGATCTCGTCACTAATGATTTAGTGGTGAAAATGGACATTAAATCGGATGTGCCGTTACAGAAACATTTTGAATTTTAGCGAATCTTGATGACATCTACAGTTTTGTCTTCCTTGTGTCATTGTGTGCATGCAATGAAGCTACTTCACTTAAGCTAAATAAATAACCATCACCACATAGTCGTGTCCTTTTCATGTTGATGCTTTAGTATTTTTGGTTGCTTTTGTAGACAATGCAGAAGATTGCATTCAGCATAACTTTAATATGTGTTTCTCGCAAGTTAATCTGGAGAATATATGGTAGTCGATAAAATATCATTATTTCAAGGCAAGGGATATACTTGGTGTTGCACTCAAAGCTGAGATCGCAGGCCCGTAGTAGCCTTGAGTAGGAATGCAGCAAGTGCCCTTGCCAGCCCAGAAGAGATGAATTTCTAGAAAGTTCTTCGTGACAGGAACAGTATACTGCTTCCTAACAGCTGTGAAAGATTTCCCACCTGCGGCCTTCCTTATGTCAAAGTTCTGCTCCTTACGTTCACCCTATACAAATAGGAAGAATAAATTTATAGCTGGCTTATAAGCTACTCCCTCCATAAACTAATATAAGAGCGTTTAGATCACTACTTTAGTGATCTAAATGCTTTTATATTAGTTTACGGAGGGAGTAACTAACTATGGGTACTGTTTAATTTGTCACTTAATAGCGGCAACCTACCTGGACATATATATCAAAAACCCTTCTACCTCTGCTCTTCCAAGACTGGGTGTCTGGGAAGTCAAACTCTGCAAACAGAAGTGTGACTGTATAGTTTCCATTTTCTAGTCCAATACCATAGTATCTTAAGGATGACGGCGATATCCTTGCATTCTGGAACAGTTCTGGTTCAAGTGTATTGAGAAACTGGCCAGGACTGTGGATTATATAACTTCCATTATTTGCCTCCATGAACTTTCCAACGTTGCTAACACCCCATGTTGGTGCTCCTGTAACATATGATGACGCAGCTCCAAGACTGGCACGATCAGGTTCATACACAGAATTATCTGGGCCTACTATGGATTTTCCAGAGTCCACAGCAAAGGAAGAAGCTGCAAGCAGGTTAAATTATTTAATATTGGTATTAGTTTAGTAAAACTGCAGTTGCAGGTCTATAGTTCCTAGATTGGGCACATTCTTAAAATTTGAAAATGCAGAAGTCTCACAATTTCGAGAATCAAGAAAACATGGTGTATTACGCTGAAGGCACCCCCACCCCGCAGGTAAGACACTGCAAATGTAACACAGTGACATTTTAAACCCAAAATAAGAGGCGAGAGAACATAATAATCATACATGATGGTCTTGAGGAGATATTGAAATATGGACGAACCTGTTGCTGGAACTATCGGCCACAAAATTGTTTGCCACCAGATTCCTAAGTAGGATGATCAACAGGCAAAAATTAGAATTCATTGTTCATACTTCATAGCATCTTTATGACTTCTTTTCGATAACTTAAATAAAAAAAGTTGAGTTACTCTTAAATAATTTGCTCGATTTTGTGCTAAGCTGTAAGACTAATATGTCACTCGGTAAACAATAGGAGCCGTAGGCGGACGCGGAGTTTCTGCACCCGAGCTCAAATGAGCTCGGGTGAACAGTAAAATCAAAACTAAATCAAAAAAATCCAAATTTGGGGAGAAACATTGACAAAAGTTTTAACTGCTTGCAAAAATTCGTCACGAAATCACATTTCTAGAAGGTGTGGTAGAAAAAACAAAATCGGTACTCTGAAATGCTACTTTCAAAAGCATTTTGGAGCACTGAATTTGTTTTTTTTTGCCACGCCTTATAGGAATGTGATTTCATGATGAATTTTTGCAAGCACTTAGAACTTTTGTCAATGTTTCTCCCAAAAAAAATTTGGAATTTTTTGAATTTTTTTTTTGATTTTACTGTTCACCGAGCTCAAATGAGCTCAGGAGCAGAAAGGCACTTTCGGCCCTAGGCATCTAAATTTATTTATAAATACTTAATATATATGCACCAAAACAGCCTTTCATATTTGTATAGGAATATAGCTTATTTGATGTGTACATATAAGCCTAATAAGTCAGCGCAGGAGCATATTTTAGATGAAACCTGCCCTTTCTTAGGCTGGATTTGGTTCATCCAGTAATAGGAGTTCCAGAATTTGGAGCTGACAATTCTGAATTTTTTGCCCATGAAGGAATGCTTCCTGAGAGCTGGTTGTAAGAAAAATCTCTACAAAATGATAGAACGAAAGCACCATTAGAAATTACATAAGCACCGCCTTGCTTTTATTGTGTAAATAAATTGAACCATATTACATACAAAGTTTTAAGCAATGATCCTACTGAGCTTGGAAGGCTTCCTGAAAGGCTATTATTCCCAAGAAATCTAGTCACAACAAAATTTATATAGATTAGCAAAATGATGAAAGTCTTCCTTTTGTACAAATACACTTTGCTAGTCAAGAGAGTCCATACAAGAAGGCGAGTGAGTTCAGATTCAACAAGGTTTGTGGTACTTGGCCTGTGATATTATTGAAACTCAAATCCCTATAATAATAATAATAATAAACCAGAAGGAGAAGATGTCATCAGCCAGTGTATAATCTATAGTAATGCAGTGTTTTGCAAGAAATGTACTTGGCTATAGTTTATCATTGGAATAGTATGCTTACAGTAAATTTAAACTCGTGAATTTCGAAAAGTCAATTGATACAAGCTTATCAGATATCCTACAGTTCCTCAAAACTCTGCAAAAAAATATTACATGTTTTAGGATTAAACTTGGATCTTTACAACTGTAATTGAGCTATTAACGGAATGGCATACAGTGTGTTCAAAGATGTCAGATTATTGATGAATGCAAGTGAAGAAGAGCTCCCATTTAATATATCAATTCGTCTGCAACACAGAAGTAGATTAATTAATTTTCATTGCTGTAACCTTCACATTTAAGAATGACATTAGCTCTTATCGCCGGCAATGGGCACTTACAAGCTTGCCAATTGGCCAAGATTGGAAAGAGTAGCTGGAATTGGACCTTGAAAAGAATTACCCTGAAACCTCCTGCAGTTCCATAGATCTAGTTAGTCATTTAAAGCATCATTTCCTGACGAATGCAGCAAAAGTAGTGAAAGAATAGATAACTCTATTCCTTGGAAGAAAAGGAAAGTGAATTCAATATTGACTGATACTATCACCTTCTCCGAAAAGGAAAGTACTAATCTAACATCTTACACCTTAAATGGAAATTTTCTTAAGAGGCCACAAGGAGATTCAGCACGTTCAAGAAAGCCTCACGTAACTAAAATTGTTGCTATTTAAAATGAATCTTCCACTTCCACATAATTTCTGTTTAGCGCAAACTAAATCTCAGCTTGTAGATAACTATATCAAACTGAAAAAAAATATTCTTTCAAACCTCCCAGAAAATAAATATACTTTGAAATTGTGTAAACAGCATGCCGTATTTTCATTTTTACATCATTACTATGATTTAGAACATAAGTGATCTTACAGCTCTGTTAAGCCGCTCCAGCTACCAATATAATCTGGTATTTGCCCAGTAAAATCATTATCTGATGCCCATCTAAACAAAGAGAGCAGAAGTACATAAGATTGAATTGTGTGGAGCATTATAATATGTCAACAACACGGCAACTATAGGCATACACTTTTTTCATTTTCGTAAGTTGGGAAAGTGATGATGGAAGTGGACCACTAAGGCCAGAACTGTCAATGTAGCTGTCATTGAGAAACAGAGAAAAAAATACACATTGGATAAGGGGTTGACTAATCCAAGCAAGAAGACAACTGGCTTAGCAGAAGAAATATAGAGTTCCCAGAATTCAGTAAATACGTACAGTTCCTCAAGTTTTGCCAAGTTTCCCAGTTCCGAAGGAAGCGAGGCCACTAAAATTGTTTCCGCCCAAGCCCCTATGAATGCACCAAAAGTTTTAGTTAGGCATGCGAACTTTATATTCTATAAGTCATGAAGGCTATCAGCATAGCTACCCTTCAAAATCTAAACTTGTATGATAAAATACAATCATATAGTTATAACAAATATTTCTTACAATTTTATAAGATTCTTAAGGTTCCCGAGCTCCTTTGGTACAGGTCCAGATAATGCATTGATCCCAAAAGTCCTCATATGTTGAAGAGAGGAACTGTGAGATTAATTGCGGGGAAATAAATGTATTCATTTGTTGCAAACTTGCAGTCATGATTTGAGTTGTGAATCTCACATGTACTTCATATCAGTCAACTCCCCGATGAAAGATGGTAAAGGCCCGGTCAAGTAGTTTTGCCCTAAATCCCTGAAACAACATTGAATCAGATAGACGAGTAAATTTGGTGTGCAATTTGGAATTATACACAGAATGTTGGTTTCAAGTTAGGACAATAGACTATAAGTTAGGACCATTTCATTTCAGGTGTGCAAGTTGAGAGTTCATACAGATCGGTCAGGGCTGTGAGGTTCCGCAACTCTTCTGGTATGGGGCCCACCGCGTCCAGGGCGTATATTTTCCTGCATCGCAAGCATCCCATTAGCTAACGCCCTATCGATCTACCAATCGCTCGCATTGATCCAAGTAACGAAACCGTCGCTAGATCTGGCATTCCATCAAACATGCTGAGCGTTGGCGGGGCCTAAGAAGAGCACTTACAGCCTGGTGATGCGGCAGATGGAGGTGTTGCCGCCTGTGCAGACTTCGCACTTGATGGCGGCCCTGAAGATGTCGTTGTTGTCGATGTTGGTGTTGTCTATGGCAGCGCCAGTGCAGGGATCGCCGCTGATGTTCCATCGCGGCCCCGCCTTCTGACCGAGTTTGGCGAACACCGCGTGCAGCGCTGCCGCTGCGAGACAAACAGAAAATAACGGTTAAGAAAGCCATCCCCGTCGCCGCTCAGCCGCCCGATGGTGATCTCACGGCCGAGAGGGAGCATCTAGAGTACGGGAAAAGAAACCCCTCCACCAGAGCGCATCAGCTCATCCCTCTCCTGACTTCCCTTCTCGCTCACTGCCATGGGGTAGGTGTAGAACCTAGATTTTTTCTTTATCTACCAAGCTCCAAGGAGATGTTGGAACTACGCGGAATGGATTCGGAAACGAGCGGCGTGGGAAAACCTAACACTTAAGATCCATGAAGGAAAAGTTCAAGCATGCTCACCGTCAGCCAGGTCGGTCCTCATTGTTTGTTGAGCATGCGCAACGGCCGCAAGAAGCAACACGAGTGCCGCGCCATGGAGTAGCATGAGCAACCTCATCTCCCTCACTTTGCTTGTCTGTCTGCTCTATCTGCGCTCATCCCTTCCGACTTCCGGAATATATATAGAGAGGGGTAGGTGGGTGAGGGATGAGAGAGAGCCGGAGCTTGTTGACATGACCAGGTCGACCAATATATCCCCTATCCAGCAACGTAATTAAGGTACAGCGAACGTTCCTTCAAGAAAAAGATTACGATGGAGAAGCAACTCGGTCCTCCAATCTCATGTGCGCAGGTGGATTAGTTGTTGAATGGCCACGTAATTAATTATTATTAGCTGCCTGATGGAACACGTGGGGCTCCGTTTATTAGAGTATACTAGGCGATACCCCGCGCGTTGCTGCAGGAACTTGTTGTGATTTTTCTTTCCGGTATATAGCAAAAAAAATTAAACAATATTGTGGTACATTAGCATGCCAAACTACCTAAAGAGACAATATATTAAAGTTTGACGACGCAAGGAGAAGAAAGCATAAAACAATGGGTACATTGCGAAAGCTTCTGAACTTGTCCATATAGTTAACTTTTCTATTGAGCATAGAAATAAATTCCCTATTCTATCTAAAATTCATCATTGATTTAGAATCCCTTCTATTTACAATGAAGGGCGATACAGTCGAGCAGGTCTTTGACTTGTCAACTCCCCAGAACAACAACAAATGTGAAATGACTAAAAATATATGAACTTGGTTACGGAGCAAAGTCACGCTCAAACAACTTTAGGAAGCCATAAATATGCCATCTTGAGAAAGCCCCAAAATAGCATGTTTTGACGACAATCTCCAACAAAGTAGTTGGCACTGTTATTCAATTGCATAAATTCCAATGAGAGAAATATGTGTGCCTTTACATATGAGAAGATGGCAACAGGGTCAGTCAGAAGTTATTAGTTGCTTTAGTGTAATTTTAAGATAATGCTACTGCACTACTTTCTATCAGATTGTGCAATCATGATAAAAAAACATGTGGTTTGCATACTTCTCCTAAATATCTTGAATAATTTTATTAACATCAACTGAAACATTAATGTTAATGAATAAATAACATCATAACTTGGGATTACCTGGCCCGGTGACGTGAGGATCAATAATGTAATAATCTTAGAATAAACAATCTTACAATAAATAAATTGACGACCCTAGACTGTTGAGTGCCAATGTATTTTCTTTTC